TGTTTAAACCCAGCGGGGCCAGAAGAGCATCTGGGCTGAAGGGAGAAGTGAGTCACACGGAACAGTATGTGCTTTCTCCTAACAATCGCTCCTCTTCACCTCAGAGGGATACAGCGAGGGTCGCGGCTCTTGTGCCAGGCCCTGCCGGGCTGGGTGCTGAGCTCTCCGCTCCCTCCCTGCTTGTCCTCTGTCACTGTCGGCCTGCCTTGGCAACCAAAGAGCTTTTCCTCAGAGCCAGTTCACCCTTATGTCTACAGAAATAAAAAGGTTATGACCTCAGATCACAGGTTCTCTGCCCCTGATCATTGCACACAAGCCCTTTGGGAGACCCAGCCCAACAGTGCTTCTCCCCTGGCACCGTGGCCCCACAACCAGCTTCCATCCGGCCTCCGTCTCATTGCTGCACAGGCAGGGGGAGACGTGAGGAGTGTCTCTCCCTTCTGGAAAAGTGTCTTGCTGTGTTCTGAGATGGGTTTGGTGGAGGGAAGGGGAATATTAACACATTGCCCACTTTTTGCCCCATGGCCCCCTTAGCTTTGCTCTTCTGCACAAAGAATGATCCTTTCCTAAGAGCGTGCTTTTTTCCAAGTCACATGCTTTTATGCTTCCTGTGCGGAAAGTTCCCCGACTCCTGGGCAACCTTGGGTGATGAGGGTGCCAGCCCCAACGTGCAGAAAATGCCTGTTGGCACTCGGGATTTCCCCTCTCCGGTGAGATACTCAGGTTCAAAACTTAGGCCTGACTATCTCTGCCTCCCGTGGGGTGCCAGAGGCAGACAGGGAGTGGGAGAGTGCATTCTGCCCGGCGTGGGTGATGGCACGGGCGAAGAAGGGACACTGGCGGCAAGTGGGCCCTCCTCTGCCTTAATCCAGCCCTGGTTTACTGGAGAATTGCTGGGCAGGGGGGCTGTTGATGGTATCATGCAGCCCCAGCTCACCCCAGGCCAGAGGCGTCCCCAGGACATCTGGTAGGCCCTGGTTGAAAATCTGGGAGCAGGCCACCCCCAGCAGCTCAAGAGTGGGGGCCATCCTGCCCAATACCATCCTCTGCCCCCTTCCCTCCTCAGGATCGTCTGCCCCAAGGCCACCACTCACCACTCCCTCCTGTCTGCTCAGTGATGCTCAGCCCTGTGGCTCTTTTTTTTTTTTTAAGATTTTATTTATTTATTTGTCAGAGAGAGAGAGAGAAAACAGGGAGGGAGAGGCAGAGGGAGAAGCAGGCTCCCCACCAAGCAAGGAACCCGGTGTGGGACTCGATCCCAGCACGCTGGGATCATAACCTGAGCCAAAGGCAGCCGCTCAACTGACTAAGACACCCAGGCGTCCCAGCACGGTCGCTCTTTGACCGCAGATACTAGGATTACAAGCCTGGAAGGAAAGGGGCCCGGTCCCTCCTTTCTGAGATCCTCCCTCCTAAAGTCCATTCCAGGCAAAACACCTTTAAAAAACAAACAAACTACTAAGGCAGCAAAGGGAGCTCAGGCTTCTTTCAAACTCCTCAGTCCGTCTTTATAATCACCTTCCCAGAGCCCGTTGAGGCCCCACACTTAAGTCTGACCGGGAGCCACACGCAGCCCCTCAGGTCCCTGGACGCAGCAGGTGCCCGTGGCTGACGGAGCGTGGCTGAGGTCTACACGGCGGGGGATTCCAGGGACCCTCATGCGGTGATTCACTGCCTTGGGAGACCTCTTGTGACCTGACCAAGGTCTAGAGGGCCTGCAGTCCTGCTGGGAAAGGTGGCAGGCAGCTGGATTTCCTAGTGGAAGAGTGGAAGAGGGAGAGGAAGAGGCAGGAAGTGAGCCTGGGAAGATGGCCTACAGAACAGGGCTGACTGAAAAGAAAGCAAAGCACGGTGGGACAGGGCCTAGAATCAGGGCTTGAATCAGGGGAGTCAAACACTGTCTCATCACAGGCACCGGTGAGAGGAAAGGCGAAGTGACCAGGGGTCAGGCCAAAAGCCAGGACCGACCAGGATTTCTCAAAGGAAGCCTAAGGAGCCACCAGTCATATTCCTGGGGTCCTGCCTAGGAACCTACCATCAGGCCCCCTCCCTCTGCCTATGGCCCCAGTTACCAACGCAGCCAGGGCTGGAACTGGACTGATGCCCTAATGCTTCACTCAGCCTTGGAAAGCGTTACATCCCTCCAGCCCACGGAAACACTCAGCCCGACCCCCACCGGGCCCCCAGGCCCACTCACCATGCCTGGCACCCAGGTACAGAGAAGCTTAACGAAGGCAGTTTATGCATAAACATTATAGAATAGCATTTCCTGGCAGGGATTTTGAGAAGGAGCCAGAGACAGTGAGGGATGTGGTCCCTTCCAGGAAGACGCTTCTAATGAGGGCTGGGGCGGAAAACGAACGAAAGGATGCATTTGGGAAGTGATCCATGAGCACACACAGGGGTGGTGAGAGGGGCTGACCACACAACCACAAGCAGGCCCTCAGGGAAGGGTCAGCCTCCTCTAGATCCCACTGCAAGCCTCTGAGGACCAGGCTCCCTTTTGAGCCCCCCAACAACCATACTACTCGGGGCTCAGGTGGCTGCCGGCAGAGCACCAAGTACCCCCGCTTCTGTGTGTCCTGAGTGCACCCCAAGGCTGGGCTCAAGAGTGCCTGAGCCTCGGGCCCCCAGCACACCCCTCTGGCCTGCCGTTGGCCTCCTGGAAGGTTGCATTTCACTGGCATCACTGCCATCTTCCTGGGCCTCGTCCCTCCCTGCCCCTCATCCTCCCTAATTCTCCCAGGCCCTCTTCTCAGACATTCTCATCCTCCCCCATGGCTTCGGGTGCCACCTCGGGAGCTAGCGACGCCCAACCCAGTCTCATCAGCCTAGACCTCTCCCCTAAGCTCTAGACCCAATGATCAAACCTGGCCAAACAGGCGTGTCCCATAAACCCTCACACTCAGCAAGTCTGATCGGCTTCCTCTTTCCCCCAAACCTCCTCCTCCAACATGCCTCACTTCAACAAACAGTCCCACCCATGGCGCCTCAGCTTATCCCCATGAGTGATAGCCTCGCCTGGGGCCCCATCCCAGACTCCTGCACCAGGCTCCCGGCTCCCAGCTTCTGCAGTGTCGCTCGATGTCTCTGTGTCCCTGCCTTTCCCTCCCTGACCCACCAGCCACTCGGTCACCAGAGCCAGGTGCCCAGACACAGTCACTAAGATCCAAGTGAAATACAGAATTCACCCAAACAATTAGACAAAAAGGTGACTTAAGAACATAAAGGCAAAAACATGGGAAGAAGACAGGCAAGGCACAGTCCCCAACCCCACAACACAGCCCTTTTGTTTCATACTGAGAAACCAGGGTGTTTCTTCTGTATGATGAAGCATTACCACTCATTTTCTATATACTTAAGACTCTCTCAAGAAAAGATTAATAATTTTACAAAGTTGGGGGAGGGAGGAGGGTGGCAAAGTGTTTAAGAAAAAGCAGGAACAATAAAACATTCATTTCTCCCACCCAGACAAAACCCCTACTGGGGTTTCAGCAGTAGCAGTAAGGCCGTCCCCTCTCTCTTTCGAGCTGTGGGGCTGCTTTGTGATCCAGACACCAAATCCCACTAGGCAGAAAAGCACAACACAAGCCTACTTATTATTTTCAAGGCAGGAGGGAAAAATCTAGAAAGGCAACAAACGGCAAACTTCCTTGCTAATCGCCGAGGATGGGAGAGGCTGTTGGAATCTAGTACTTTTTCTGTCCATCTGGTCTTAAAAAAACAGAAATTAGATACTCTGGTTTGACAACAGCAAGAAGGATTTAAAAAAAAAAAAAAAGCCAGAATTGTTGTCTAAAACCCTGGCCCTTTCCCTCTGTCGGATCATCAGCCCTGCCTGTTAGTCGAGCCTGCTGCCCACCTCATGATCTTGGTCTAGGAGAGCCCGGCTGTTTGTCCCACATTTCCAACACACCGTGCCTTTATTCACACGGTTCCCTCTTCCTGGCATGCCCATTCCATTGTCCGTCTGGCAAACACTTACTCAATAAGACAAATCAAATGTCTCCTTCCTTTATGAAGGCTTCCTGTCCAACTCCTGGAGACACCTTTTCTCTCTGCTCCCCTTTTCCTCACAGAAGTATCTGTTTAAGTACCTGTCACCCTCCAGCCTTCAGATCTGCTTCCCCTGTAGACTACAAACCCCTTGTGGGCAGGAAGCATGTCACCTTCTTCATCTTAGCATTCTCAGACCTAGCTCAGTGCCCAATAAAAGAAGAAGAAGGAGGAGGAGGAGGAGAAGTAGTAGTAGTCGTCGTCGTTGTCATCGTTTTTAACAGGGACGCCTCGGTGGCTGAAGTGTATGCCTTCAGCTCAGGTCATGATCCCAGAATCCCCTGGGATCGAGTCCCACATCAGGCTCCCTGCTCAGCATGGAGCCTGCTTTTCCCTCTGCCTGCTGCTCCCCCTGCTTGTGCTCTCTCTCTCTCTGACAAATAAATAAAATCCTAAAAAAAAAAAAAAAAGAAAGAAAGAAAAAGTCTTTAACAAATGTCTATGGAATGAATAAATACCTAACTGAGAGCTTGGCTTTTAAGCTATTTAAACTATTCAAATAATCTTAGTCTGGTGCCCTAGTCTCCCAAGTCCAGGGTAGCATAGCCCAGGAGTGCTAAGAATGTGGCCCCATGCACAAATCATCTGTATTGAAGGGCACTAATCACGCTTACACAGGTCCAAGTGCAGGGGCTTGGGAGGAGCCAAAAACAGCAATGCTCCCATGTGGAAAGACAACAAAGTCAGTCCAGTCAACTCTCTCAGTCATGTAGATGGAGGAAAATGATGCGGCAAAAAAAATTCCAACCAGTGGAGAATCCACAGATCAACATCATTAAGCCTTGAGACATGTATTATTTCATTGTAGCAAATTGGTCTTCCAGATTCCATTTGGCTCAAGCTACATCTATATAATAAAAGATGATAGGTATCTAATGTAGGGCTTTATGAAGCTTACCACCTGGTAATGCAAAGACCTGGGCAGGGCAGGACGTTCCCCTTACCTGACACAGTCCCCGGGCGCCTGCCTAGATGGTTCTTGCGGCTCCCCTTCCTGATGTTGGTGGAAACCGGGACTACAGAGAGGACTTGACCCAAGCCTGCCCCAGCCAGGCCTAAGCCGGAATGGGCACTGGTAGATTTTCCATGTCTCAGCCCTTTGACCACAGGCTGGAAGTGGCTTTGCACAGCCACCTGCTCCCCTGGCCCTCAGCTATGGCTGGCATTACCTAGGAACTAGACTCCCAACTACCTAGGAAGGGCAAAACGTGAAGAAGGGGGGAACCCGGCTAAGATGAGGGAAGCCCAGGAGGGGCAACCTTTCCATCTACCAGAACACCAGCTAGTGTGAACTCCGCTGCACCAGGAAAGGAGAAATCATGAGCAAAGGGAGCAGCATGCTCTGACCTGGGGTTAAAGAAATGAGGCAGAGAGAGGGAGTTCAGAGCTGGACAAGGAAGATGGCTCTGGTCTGGGATGGCTTGATTTCAAATTTCCCTTTTCCCCTTTCCACTCAGCAGGCTTTCTTCCCACCCCAAAATCTCTTCCTGACCCTGCTGCATCTCGCCCCCCCCCCCCCCTCCAGAGAACCCCCCCATACCCTCACACACAATACACAGCCCCTATTCCTCTGTGATCCACAACTCACTTCAACCTCTCCCACTCTCCAGCCCCAATTTCTTCCCCCAACCGGACTGCCCCACCTTCTGTGTCTCCCCATCACCTTGCCTCAGAGCTTGGCCCCTAATTCCGTTTTCCATTTGTCCTTTCCCAGCCCACCGGCTTCTCCCCCCAGGGGGCTACTTCCTGCACTAGGCTCTCCTCCAGGCACCTGCTAGGGGCCAGCCACTTAACATTGACCACTCCCCTCAAGCCCCCAGCGACTCATTCCCCGCCCCCAGCCTGGGCGGCTGCAGTCCCTATACCTTTAACAAACCTCCACGTGCGTGTTAACGGCGGTGACAGCATTTCCTTGTCTCTCTGCTCCCGCCCCCGGAGGCGCCACCCATTGGCCGCTGGGTTCCTCTATTCTCGCTCTAATTGGCCTCGCTCCCGGAAAACTCCAACCAATGGTCTCTCCGCGCCTGTCTCCCTCCTCCGACCCCGAGCTCCCATTGGCTCCAAGGACTTAGGACCTGTTAGCAGGGGAATTCTTCCGTCCCCCGGGTAAACTCCCGGGCTGAAAAATTGGTTCCGAATCCAACGGAACCCAGAGCTGGGCGACGGCAGGTCACGTGGCTGGCGGCCTCATGACGTGCGGATTGCGAGGCGTCACCGTGACGTTCGGGCGACCTGCCGAGTGGCCCCGCTACCTCCACCACCTGTACGGTGGCGGTGTCAGCATGGACCTGGGCCCGATGCGCAAGAGTTACCGCGGGGACCGAGAGGTGCGGCCACCTGGGCAAGACCTCCCGCAGGGCGGGGAAGGAGCCCCACGGGGTGGGATTGGGGTCACCCCCGTAGGAGAAGGGGGTTCCAAGACAACCAGGGGGGGTAAGGGGCTCTGGGGAACAAGGATGAAGAGAGGCTGCGGGTTGCCGCGGGTGAGAACGCCAGCTCTGGAGAGGCCTCGGGGTGGGATCCTGCCACTCACGAGTGCGTCACTTTTACAACCTCTCTGGGCCTCAGTTTCCTCACCTGGGAAGTGAGTACCTAACTCGCAGGGATGTTGTGGACTTTGATATTTGCAAAGTGCTTAGAACAGTGATAATCAGCTTCTAAATATTTGATAAGTAACACATAGGGGAGGGGTACTGACTCATGGAAGGAGGGAAGGAGAGAGCGCCTAGTCAGTACCCGTCAGTACCTTTCCTTCCCCTTTGGAGAAGCTCTTTTCCTTTTCCCTCCTTGGAGGAAAAACCAACTGTTTTAGAATTGAGGCCCGAGCTGCAGTTTCTAAATCTAGTTGCGTGTGAGCATTTCCAGAAATAGTTGTTAAACATGCAGTTTTTCACCGAACCTCAGACCTATGGAGAATTTGTGGGGGTTGAGACCAGGAATATGGCTTTTTTCTTTTATGCTCCCCAGGTGATAGGTTTGATGCTCATGACATGAAACTCTGATTCATCCATCACTGCTGTGGGACCTGGCGAGTTATGCCACGTTTTTTTATGCCTCTGTCCTCACCTGTAAAATGGAGCTAGCAGAACCTATTTCCTGGGTACTGTTTTTTGTTACGAACAGTGCCTGGAACAGTACCACATACACAGTAAGAGTTATATGTGTTCATTAAATAAAACTCTCTTTTCCCAGGCATTTGAGGAAACTCAGCTGACTTCCCTGGACCCCATGAAGCAGTTTGCTGCCTGGTTTGAGGAGGCCGTTCAGTGTCCTGACATAGGGGAAGCCAATGCCATGTGTCTGGCTACCTGCACCAGGTGGGCATAGCCGTGGGCCCGTCTGTGGGTGGGTACTGGTGAAGTAAGAAACTAGGAAGCTCTCAACTTGGTGGAATGCAAATTTATGGTTATAGCTGTGTTACTAACATGCTGTGTGACCTCAGGCAAGTTACTTGTCCTCTCTGGGCCTCTCTGTCCTTACCTGTAAACCAAAGATCAGACTTTACTTAATTCCATTTCAGTAATAAAAATGTAGTCCCTCATTCATCTCTGCCCCTGATGCTCTCACCCCCAACACCCATGTCTCCCTTATCTCCCCATTTACCCAATTCCCACCTGTCCTTTAAAAGCTTAAATGGAACTTCTCCATAAAGCTCTCTACCTCTCCTGAAATCTAGCGTAGTGCTTGGTTGTATTATGTATTTGACAATCAGTCATATAACCTTGAGACACCTCTTACATTAGCCTGTTATTCAACTCTTGTCCCCACTCATTAAAGTGTAAGGTCTTGGGGTGCCTGGGTGGCTCATTGGGGTAAGCATCTGACTCTTGGTTTCAGCTCACGTCATGATCTCAGGGTTCTGGGATTGAGCCGCCAGGGTTGCTGCTCAGTGGGGAGTCTGCTTCTCCCTTTCCCTCTGCTCCTCCCCAACGCCCCAGCTCATACTCTCTCTCTCTCTCTCTCTCTCAAATAAATAAAATCTTTAAAAAAAAGTGTAAGGCCTTGAAGGCAGGGCTCTGGTACTGTGCCCCAGGATATTCCCCAGAGTCTGAGCAGAGGTCCTAATATAACTGCCCTTTCTGTGATCGCTAAGCCCTGGCTGATTGTGTCATTGTTGGTCACTGCCCCAAGAGCCTTGTTAACCTGCTAGGTAATAAAATACCACTGACTGGTAGGTGTAACCAGCAGAGATTTATTTCCTCACAGCTCTGAGAGCTAAAAGTCCAAGATCAAGGTGCTGTCAGGATGGGTTCCTTGTGAGGCCTCTCTTTCTGGCTTGTAGATGGCCACCTTTTTGCTGTGTCATTGCGTGGCCTTTCCATGGTACATGCAGGGGATGGGAGGGAGGAAGGGAGGGAGAAGGAGAGAGAGAGACAGAGATCTTTCTGGACACCAGGCCTATTGGATTAGAGTCTTACCTTTATGACCTCATTTAATCTTAATTATCTCTCTAAAAGCGCTGTCTCCAAATAGAGCCACTTTGGGGGGCTTCAACATAGAATTTTAGGGAGACACAGTTCCGTCTATGACAACTCCCAGGCAGCAGTGTCCTGCCCATACCTCTAGGACAGATCCTCAGGGTGGGGGTGGGGTGGCCACGGGTAGCTGGCACCCCCTGACAGTGCAGAATAAGAAGGCAGAGGCATGGGGAGCGCAGGGGAGCACCTGGGGAGAGGGGTGGTAGCAAGGACAACGACATGGGCTCTGACCACACGCTCTGGTCTTTGCCCAGAGACGGAAAACCCTCTGCCCGCATGGTGCTGCTGAAGGGCTTTGGCAAGGATGGCTTCCGCTTCTTCACTAACTTCGAGAGTCGGAAGGGAAAAGAGCTGGTGAGGGGCCCGCAGGGGCCAGCCCTGGCTTCCTTCATCACCCTCTGGTGCCACCCCCGCCACATCCCACTTGCTGGCTGTGCTCAGGCGCCGTCCTGCCTGCGGGCCTTGGCACTTGCCCTTCTCTCTGCTGTGAAGGAGTGCTCTCTCTGACCACCCCATCTCTGTCATCTGCTTCCCTAAGTAGCTCCTGACCCTTTGGCTCTCAGCTCCCGTGTAACCTCCTCGGGAAAGTCCTCGATCCCCGTGCCACATCAGCTGTTCACCCTCGTGGTAACTTGTAACTTTACTTGCTGCCTTGTTTTCCGTTGGTAACTGTGCCTTTGTTCTGTTACGTGATTGAGATTTGTCTCCTCCACTAAACACCCAGGAAGCTCTGTGGCGGCAGAGGCTGCATTCATTGTACGCCCGGTGTTCCCTCTGCGCCTCTCCTGGTGTCAAGCCCAGAGTTGATCCTTTGTGTGCGTTCGACTTATGAATCCGAAGGACTCCCCAAGCCCATGGCACCCGTAGATGCATTTCTGCGGACTTGCACATCTATGGATGAGAGAAATGGCAGAGCCTCACTTTGGAGTCCGTCTGGCTCAGGTTCTCAGTGCGGCTCTAGCACTTCCTGTGTGAGCTTGGGGCAGGTTCCTTAACCTGTCTGAGTCTGCCTCCACCCCTGGAAAAGTAGGCCTACCTTTGAGTGTTTAGATGAGATGTGACAGTGAATGCCTGCCCCGTGGGTCTGCACGCTGCAGGCTTCCTGCCTCCTTTCTGCATGGTGGAGGTATTCTCCCTGCTGTTCAGATGGCCGTCTGTGAGTTCTCTTTCATTTCCAGGACTCCAATCCCTTTGCTTCCCTTGTCTTCTACTGGGAGCCCCTCAACCGTCAGGTGAGTGAGCATTCCCGGGACATCCTGGGGCTCGCTATGGAGGAGCCCAGTGGAGGGCATCAGGCCAGGCAGACATCCTGTCTCTCTTAATGAGCTGGCCTAGTTGGAGCCGGCAGTGGTGGGGCAGTGGAGAAGGGAAGAAAGAGAGGAAGGGGACCTGTGTTGGTGGGGAGGGCAGATGGCGATGAATGCCATCTAGCCAGGGCCGTCCCTGAGCAGGTGCGTGTGGAGGGCTCTGTGAAGAAGCTGCCCGAAGAGGAGGCTGAGTGCTACTTCCACTCCCGCCCTAAGAGCAGCCAAATCGGGGCTGTGGTCAGTAACCAGAGTTCTGTGATCCCCGATCGGGAGGTGAGTTGGGTTCCTCCTTGGTTCTCTGGGTGGCAGGGGCCTTAGCTCATCCCCCAGCGGATGTTCACTAGAAGTGCCAGGGCCCACCCTCTCCAGCAAAATGAAGGGGTGGTCTCCTTGTGGAAGTGGGGGAAATAGACTTCCTTTGTCTGACCCTCTGGTTGGACTATGCTCCGAGAGGAGAAAGGCCAGCCTCTCTTGCTCACCTGCGTCCCCTGGGCCACGGCACGTGCTTAGTAAACGGTTAGTAAGTGAATCACTGACTCAGTCCAGGCCTTCCTGTGTTTCCTTCCCCTGGACAGTATCTGAGAAAGAAGAATGAGGAACTGGAGCAGCTCTACCAAGAGCAAGAGGTGCCAAAGCCGAAGTACTGGTGAGTTATCGATAGCTGGTGGCCGTCCAGGCCGGGGCACAGAACCTTCATGTTTACTCAAAACCGCTCTATCTGTGGCATTACAGACCTACTCCCCGCCTCCCCACCACCCAAACATCATCAGATTCATCCTTCCGACTTCCATCAAGGGGCCCTGGGATGGGCTGGGATGGGGACCCCAAGGGTGGGGGCGGTGTCCTGCTGGAAAATTGCACAGAGCACCAAACCCGCTGCTTCTTCTTGAAGGGGTGGCTACATCCTATACCCGCGAGTGATGGAGTTCTGGCAGGGCCAAACCAACCGTCTGCATGACCGGATCCTCTTCCGGCGGGGCCTGCCGACAGGAGACTCCCCTTTGGGGCCCATGACCCACCGTGGGGAGGAAGACTGGCTGTACGAGAGGCTCGCACCCTGACTCGAAGTCTGCTGGCGCCTGCTGGAGCTGGCGCGGGGTGCTAAGAGAGGGTGTGGGATGGTGGGCGTGACCTTCTAGACTCAACCCATTTCCTTCCCCACTCCTTATATTTAAAGCTCTTCAGAGTTTAAGCTCCAAATTCTGTATCTTTAGTTGGCTCTCAAGTAGGTAGTCTAGTGGAGCGTAAACAGTGGCAGAGAGAATCACAAATGGGGAAAAAAAAAAATCCCATAATTATTTTCTTGACCTTGAATATGATTTATTGGAATAGCTCCCTCTAGAGGTAGTAGCTGGTGTGGTTCCCTTTTCCCCGGACCTGGGGCGGGTCCCTGCTGCCCTGTTAGGGTGTGACTGGGTCATACTGCCCGGAGCAGACTGGTTCCAGCCTAAGCACCCAAGACAGTGTTTGACAGGGAGAGACCCAGAGCGTGAGAGGCATTTTAGCAAGACCTTAATGGCAGCCAAGAAGCAACAGTTTCCAGCCACTTCTCTTGTCATTCCCTGAGTGACCCTTGGATCCCTCCTCCCCACGTGTGGGCTGTGTTAACTCCTCCTGCCTCAAAACACCCATTATCCCTTTTTTGTTTGTTTTGTTTTTTTAAAAGGAAGTTTTTGGCTTAAACTAGCCAGAATCAATTTCTGTTGCTTGCAACTAAAAGAAACTTCATTAACTTACTAATAGGATATATATATATTTTTTTATTTGACAGAGATCACAAGTAGGCAGAGAGGCAGGCAGAGAGAGAGGGGGAAGCCGGCTCCCCGCTGAGCAGAGAGCCCGATGTGGGGCTTGATCCCAGGACCCTGAGATCATGACCTGAGCTGAAGGCAGAGGCTTTAACCCACTGAGCCACCCAGGCACCCCTCTAATAGGATATTTTTATAGCCCTGTACCCTACTGATAACTGCTTCCCTTTATCTGAAGCACAACAACGTGGAAAAGAGATTAAATGTATTCTCTGGAGCTCCAGAGGACCCAGAGGTGGGAGTTGCATGGACGTAGGTTTCCTCTCAGTTGGGGGAGAGACTTGAGACAACCATGATCGAGTAATCGGGAGTGGGCTACCTAGTTAGGTAGCAAGTGTCTCTAGAAGTATTCGATCCCAGGGAGTCAGGAGTTTTATAGAAGGGCTTCATGACTTGTACCTACGAGCCAGGCAGATTTCAGTCAAGCTTTACTTTCCATGTTCGTTTCTGAGAACAACATACGTGTGTGTGTGTGCGCGCACGCACACATACACAGATGTCTGTTTCATTTTCCAGGTATAGAATTGTTACAGAGATACGTTTCAGTACTCATGGATCCCCTTCAGCTGCTCCCCTCCTCTGTGGGGGATGACTCCTAGACGCGGGTTTCCATCCCTGCTGGAATTACCCAGGAAGCGTTTGTCACACATGGTTTCACTGGTCTGAGTGAGGTCTGAACTTTGGGGAACGTAAAAGCTCCCCAGGGACTTCTGTGCAGCCAAAAGTTGAGACCCCCGATTTTAGATCCTCACTACTCTGTGTGGTCCACAGACCAGCAGCCCCACCACTTAGGAGCCCACCCTCAGCCCACCCATGAATCCCGTCCTGCATTTAATAAGCCCCCACCCCAGGTGACCGGTTTCAGTGTCCCCCACCTCCACAAAGCAATGACTTCCCACCCTTACCATGGGATTCCTCATCAGGCCTGGACTGAGGCCCGCGCTGAACTGTGTTTGCACACTTCTTGAGCACAAGTCTGGTGACCAAGGACAGCTTGAACGAATGGCCTCCAGGCTGTGGAGGGGAGCCAGGCTGGGTAAATGTTTGCTGTGACTAAGCCAGAATCTGAGAACTGTTATTTTGCGCGTTGGCATGGAACTCGCCAGCTCTGTAAACTGTTTCATTCCTCTGTGTGAGCGTGTGCGCTGCTTACGTGCTGCCATTCATGGGCTCCACCCAGGAGGCCCCTGTGGGGGGTTGATCCCCCTCTTAAGCCTGAGTGTGGGAAGGCACGATGCTAATCCTATGGCCACCAAAGGAGATGGTGCTGGGGTGCCCTTCTCTGCCTTGTCCCATTACTAGGAGCTCTGTATTCCCCACCCCCTATCTGAGCCTGGGTTCAGCTGTTCCTCTCCTGTTCTTTGACAATCACTGTGCCAAGTCTGTAATAAAACTTGTTCAGCCGTGTGTGATATTAATGTTCAACCTGGCCCAGCCGCATCCTCGCATCCCCCACCAGCCTAGGAAGGAGGGAGTTGGGGGCTTAAGGGCCCCCCTCCCCCCTCAACTCCACCTCTCCATAGTGGTTGGATGGCCAGCAGGGGGAGCCCACCGCCCAAAGTTGACCCCTCAGGGGCAGTGCAGGCCAGTTGGAGCCTGCCCCTCCTGCCCCCCCCCCCCCCCCCCCCCCCCCCCCCCGTTGGGTCGTGTCCCAGTGAAACTGTGGTCGATAACCCATAGCCTCTCACAGCTCCAGCCCATATTTGCACTCTCGGTTCCTCCTCCTCTGGCCTTGTGGAAGTTTGCAAGTGCCTCCCTCTGACTCCCTGGCCAGCCAGATTTCCCTTTGGCTTTTAGTACACACCCACCCCCTGCCCCCCAGCTTAGGGGTAACTGGGATTTCCATGGAAGGTTCCTGCGGACATCAGAGACTAGAGCAGGATCTCACGCACCAGGGGTAATAGTGGCCATGTGGTGTCATTATTGGATAGAAGCCGGGCCGGGAGGCCCAGGGCCCAGGCTCATCCCCAAACCCTCCTCCCTCAAGCAATCTCAGGATGGGCGGAAGTGGTCTGATGTCTCAGAGGACACTCAGCCTCTGAGCTGGTTAGCTTTCCCCTACTGGTGCCAGAATCAGGTTTCTAAAACCCAGGCCATTACCCTCTGCCACCCTACCTCCCCTTCTGCAGAAGGTGACTGGACTCCTTTCTCTGCTCTGAGCCTCAGTTTCCCATCCCCCGAGCAGAGGCAGATCAAGCATGGAGGGGGCCGTGGGCCGCAGTCATGGGCACACACCAGCTCGGGTTTCAGTCCCGGCTCCACCATGGCAAGCAAGTGCCCTCACTTCTCCACCTCAACTAACTCAGCTGGAAAATGGGGATAATGACAGCACCTGTCTCAAGGTGATGAGGGGACTGACCGAGGAACCTCACGGAGTACTTGCCACAGGGCCTGGTCCACTATAAACTCTTAGTAAACACTGGCTATTCACAGTGGACAGGACTAGAGTAGGGGGAAGTCGGGTCCTCCATGGGACACTTCACGGATTGGGTAATTGGAAGGACCCTAAAAGTTCTACGAGGTGGGAGGGATAGGAAAAGAGGCCTGGGGAACAGCAGCTTACCTGAACCAGCCCACCTTCCCTCCCTCCAGCTCCTGGTGTCACTCATCCTCACAGTTCCCCCTAGCCTGGGTGAGGCCACCCAACAAAGGCCCCCTTGTATGTTTTGTTTGTTTTGTTAATAAATTTCCTGAGCAACACTCCCTGGGGTGGAGTGGCCCGACAGCCCGCAAGGAACTGACCTGGAAGCTGCATTACCACATTATTTAGTGGCCACCTTGGTTTCTCCCTGTTCCCACCAAGAGCTCCAGAGATGTGTCCAATTTTTTCTAGCTCCCAGCTCCTGGGGCCTGAGAAAGATCTGGATCTACAGCACAGGGAGCACACTCTTTCCTCTTCCTTAACCAGAAGCTGTGGGCTATGGTGGAGCTCCTTAATAAAGGAAGGGGGAGGACACCCGTATTAACCGAGCACCTACTATAGGACTACTTAGGGAGCATTTAATATTGACCATTCCCCCCAAAAAGATATGATTACAGGAGAGAAACCTGAGGTTTAGAGAGCATTTTTTAAAAAGTATTCCCCAAATCACCCAGTGACTAAACGGTGGAACGAGAATTTGAGTCCTGACCCTAAACCAAACCCCCACAACTGTGGGGTCACCAAAGGTCTCCTCTACTCTCTTGAAGTCCCTGATGTTCTCTCTGTTGACCACTTAGCTGAAACTAGCCCCTACCTTTGCTATATTTTCATACTGAGGACCCCTTTATCTTTAATTTAAAAAGATCTTATTTTTAAGTATTCTATAGACCCAACATGGGGCTCTAACTTATAACCCCCAGACCAAGAGTCACGTGCTCTGTCGACTGATCCAGCCAGACGCCCCCTGGAGACCCTTCCTGACGCTTGAAAGGAACACTAAGCACTTTACTTAAATGCAGGGAGTAAAGGCATAAGAAACAGTCCTCAGGAAATTAAGACAAAAGCATAAATAGATTCTCTGCTTTTGCAGCATTGTTTATTACAAAGAGAGAGAACTACAATTATTTTTTTAAACAAAATTCAAGGCTCCAGGACTCATCTCTGGGGCTTGTCCTTCTTAAATACCAGTAGGAGGGGAGAAGAGAGCTGGCTGCTTTTAGGTCCTATCAGAGCCTCCCTAGCCGCTCCCTGAATTTGGACCCATGAGCCAGTGCACTGTCCCTTTGAGGATGTGTGCAGGAAACTGTGGGGTCCCTCACCAGGTCTTCTGCAGCAACCCGCCCCCCCAGGAGAGTGCCAGTGTCCTCCTCTCCTTGCACACCTAGGGGCAAAGTTCCAGGAAGTTTCCCTCATGTGGGAGGTGGTTAGCTCAAGTTCAGGGTCTCCGCCTCCTCCAGCTCCAGGAAACCATCCCATCATGTGGCTTCTGGAAAAGTCACGCTTAGAATTGGTCCAGGGAACAGCTGTGGGTAGAGAAAGTAGAGGGAGCAGCAATCGAAACTCACCCTTGACCCTGTGCCACCGGAGGAGGAGAAGTCTGTCCGCCCCCTCTCTCCACCCCTCGCCATGCCCACCTCCCTGCCGGCACTGCCATGGCTCTGAGGAGGGCTGTCCTTCTGCGTGGGACTTCTCATCCTTGGACTGGAGTGCCTTTGTATGTGCTGGGGAGGTGGGACGAACTTGGGAGAACCCAGACCTTCCAGAAAGCTGGGGCACATAAATAAAAACCTAAAACCAGACCCTGCCTGCCAGCAGGCATCAAGGGCTCCACGGAGTCAGCTGTGGCCAAGGAGGCCAGCGTGGCCAGCTCCTGTCGCAGGTCCGGCTGATGGCAGGAGTAGGGAGGTATTAGGGTCCTCCTTGGCCTCCTTCACTGTCCTTTGCCATCCCTGTCATCAAAGAGGTTGGGGTTCTCTGCCAACGTGGCCCGAACTTTCTTCTTCTCCTTGAAGCGGCCTGAATTGGAAACTTTGACATGCTTGCCCTTTGTGTTCTTGTCCACGATCTTCTCCAGGCGGGTGTTATAGTTGCCATTGGGGTCCCCCCCCTCAGGCCGAGGGGGCTCGGCGCTGCCCTCCGTTGGAGCATAGGTGTCGGGGATCTCATACAGCACCTTCGGAGCAGATTTCTTTTTCCGGAGGAAGGTCAGCTTCCACCAGCCAACTTCGGTCATGGCTGTTCCCGGAGCCGAGGGTGGGGCTTTCTGCAGGAACACGGTGGGACAGTGAAAGGGGTCAGTGGGGAGAAGGGAGGTGCCTTGGAGCAGCCGTTTCTAGCTCCTAATCATGGGCTGTTTTAAGAGTCCAGGCCTGAGGGAGGGGCGCCTGGGTGGCTCAGTGGGTTAAAGCCTCTGCCTTCAGCTTGGGTCATGATCCCAGGGTTCTGTGATCAAGACCCCCTTGAGCCCCGCATCGGGCTCTCTGCTCAGCAGGGAGCCTGCTTCCTCCTCTCTCTGCCTGCCTCTCTGCCTACTTGTGATCTTTGTCTGTCAAATAAATAAATAAAATCTTAAAAAAAAAGAAGAGTCCAGGCCTGAAAAGATTGAAGGTGGAGCCCAACGAACCCAGGGTTCAGATAAGTGCTACGATACCAAAAGAGAGGGGTCTGGGGAATGGGTGGCAGGCATTGGATGGACAGAAACACCCTGTGCATTCTGATTGGAATTCATTACAAAATAAATAGGATTTATGATTTGGAGAGTAATTTGGACTTCCCAGTGGGGACCGACAGGAGTGGAGTCGTTGTGGGTTGTTTTTTTTTTTCCTAAGTGGGAGGAGCCTCAGGGCAGGGTGGGGGGTGGGGAGAGGAGTCCTGGGACTGCACCAGCCTTGTGACCTCTGGCAAGGTACTTCTCTGGACCTCAGGGTCCTCACCTGTCCCTTCCAGCGCTAACCTTTAGCTCTAAGGTGAATCCCCGCCCTCTGAGGGAGGCGTGCTCTGCAAAATAACACATGGTAATGGCAATAATCACTGAGGGACAGCTCCTTTCCCCACCCAGCTTCCATGAGCACAGGAGTTTGCAGGAGAGCTGAAAATTGGAGGGACGTTTTTGGGGTCACAAGGTGCCCATGAGATATACTTATCACAGGCCGACTCTTCACAAGGAACCCAGCGGGAATGGGACTTCGGGGCTGACATCCAGGCTTCTCCACTGACAAGCCATGTGCCTTGCCGTGAAGTGGCCTGACACGGAGGTGGCCTCATCTTTTACTTATTTCCACAAAGTTGCTGTCTGAGCTAGTGGGAGTTCTGGGAGACACGGCTGCCTGGACATGGTTGCCAGGGGGTGCGTTTAAGACAGAGGAAGGAGACGGCAGATTGGAGGAGCTCTGAGCAGCGAAGGGCAGGCAGAGGGATGAGAAATTGAGGCATCTCTGCCTGGAGAGGGTGGTGGGCTGGTTCTCAGGACCCTGCATGTGGCTGAGAAGGGTCCTGGGGTGGAGCAGTAGCCACCATACTCCAGAAAGCTAGATGGTCAGGTGGGCCGAGCACAGATGAATAGATCACCTCCTTTTAGAAACCAATGGTCTTAACCACATTTTCTGAGAAGACCAGAAAGAAATATGACAAATGATGAACAGTGGTTTTCTTTATAGAGAAGGAATAGAGGATATTTTCTCCCGGTTTATTTCTGATTTCTAGATATTCCATAATAAGCGTGGTTTTTATTTTTATTTTATTTTATTTTATTTTTTTTAAGAGGGAGAGCAAATCAAATTTGGGGGAAAATGGAAACAAGATGCTGACCTAGGCTTGGAATGGGTTGAATGCCTGCCCCTTGTTGCTGTTGTCCCCTTTCCTCCCGTATACTCAGCCCCACGCCCAGAGCGCATGCCTGATGGACTCCTTCCTGCCTCTTCGTCTGGGAAGCAGATCCTACATTGCTCTGTCCCTCTGGCTGAGTTCAAGTAGCAGGAGAAGCCCA